ATCGCGTCGAACGCGCGACCGAAGCGCGGCCGTCGCGAAGTCTGAACGCTGCCTTACTCGGCGCTAGGCCAATATATTGGGGCATCTGGTGCACTAGTTCGGATCACAGAAATTGCAAATTTACACAAAGGCCTCTTTTGCGTCAGAGCTCCGTTTTGATGTAAATTCCTTGACATTTCCCCTTGGGTTAAACATCGCTTGGGTTGGAGTGTGTGAAGAAAGACTGCAGACCAGGAATGGAGATTTTCTTTTAGGCCGAGAGGTAAGAAGTTCTGCTATTTGTGGAACCGGTGTCAGTTACCGCAGTGCTTCTTCCCCCTAAGCGTGCGCTCATACTCTGTGTCAGCGTTTAGAGAAATGGAAATTGTGCGCAGTGATTCATAATGGCAGCACCAGAATGACTCAGTTTCGCTGATTACCACCGCGGACTGTAGTGTTGTTACGGGTGGGTGGAGGAGGGGAGGGGGCGGGCACAATTTGACAGTAGACGTGCCAGCAGTGTGATCGTTGTTGCTTTTCTAAGGTGAGGCTGTTGGGAGAATGAAACGATATTTCAGTGGGAGAGTGGAGAAGGGCTTGCTACCTTCTTTCTAACCTCAGCACAGTTGTTCCAGTCCATATAATTCATTTGAACCACCTTTTGAGTAACGTTTTCATTCAACGGCCAACAAATTCCCCAACTATGAAAGGGCAACTCTTCTCCTTCAGTACTCGCACTACAGACTTCTGAGAACCTGACACAGCGCTATACACCAGGTGTGGCCGATCAGTGAAACCTGTTAGATGTATGACTTTCGAACACGCCATATTTTGAAAGAAGTTAAGAAGAGCTGGAGCCTACATCTTAAGGTTCTTCCTGCTATCACACCCAGCAGGTTAGCTTACGGCTTTTCTGTGCTGGACGCAGTTCAATAAGCTCAACTGCCAAATGTTCAGACATACCTGAGTGGGAGATGCCTGCGCTGTCAGTTCATCTCCTTTCAAGACTATACCGTTGGTAGATGCTGTCTGCGCCTAAATAACTGACCTATTTTCATAGCCCTAGCTGCATGAACAAGCGATGACCATTAAACCATGCTGAAGTGCCTTTCAAATAGCAGCCGTGTTTCGAAAGAATAACAAATTCTAATACGACCTATACTGACGGTTACGACTAATATCGATGTAGGACTTTTAAAATAGCGCCACAACGTCAAGTGCATCTTGTGATCCTTCTACTTGAGTTGGAGGCTTTTTTTGCGCCATGGAGCTACTTCGACGGTTCGAAGAGGTGCCATACTTTGCACTACACTGAAAGGATAGCAAGGGTTCCATCCGCTCCAATCTGAGTGCCCATGGAGTGAGAGGAGAGTGGCCCACCGATCGGTATTAATCGCTGTAAGACCGACGAAATAGCGCCACGACGTCAAGTGGCATCTCGCAGTTTTTCTGCCGTCGCGGGGAGTTTGCTTTTGCAGCGATAGAGCTGCTTCGATGGTTCCAAGTGCCATACCTCGCACACCAACGGCAGCCCAAACAGCGCTGATTGAAGCGAGTCCCCTGGAGACCCTTCCCAACGCAGGCATCAGACTGGTGGCCAGTTAGTGCAATCAGCGTATATTCACACCACTCCTCAGCACGATATCATGGTCACCACCTAGCGATAACTGAGGCAGCGCTCATACTATGCGTCAGCGTCCACCTGCGACTAGGAATTCATGGATATCAATCTAGCGAACGCCAGTCGCCTACCAGCGTCCTGAAGGGCTAGGGAAGCACAGATATCGATCTGCGAACACCAGCGTCCACTAGCGTACAGCACCGTTTTCGCGGCCACTTTGAACTTGAAATTGCCCGCGTAAGCGCTGCTGTACGCTGAATCGATACCTGTTGTTCCGTAGTTCCTTGTGACGCTCGTGAACGATGGTAGATACCCGCGCTCGCTAGATCAATATCTATACTTTCCTAGCCGTTGGCGCTTGGCGTACGCTCGGAACGCAATCGGATGCTAACGCAAAGTATGAACGCAGCCTAACGTCAACTTAGAATTGGACAAACTGCAACACACCTCAACCATCATTCTATTTCCCGCTTCCAGACTTGGAAACGACCTCTCGTAATCAGCTTGCGCTTCTTCAACATCGCATTTCTTTTTCGACTTCTTCACGGGACTTGTCATTACAACACTGTCAACGTTGAAAGAAGAAACAGATTTTAATTGAATTTTTCATTTTTTTCCGACCTATCTAGCTAAAAACAACTTCACATACAAGACGCAAGGTAAATGCGTTCATCTGTTTATGGTCTCTCACTCGCTTTAACGTAAACAAGATGCTCATTACAACAGCCAGGTAAGCTTCCACTGATACACAGCATTGGCGAACCAAAAACTTATAGATTAAATTTATCTCTACAACATAGCAACAGAACTAAAAATTAATCTAAGTGCTGTGTTGCTTGGCGAGCTCCTCTGCCTTTGCGAACACATCATCAATTCCTCCTTGCATATAGAAAGCAACCTCGGGAAGGTGGTCGAGCTCTCCTGAAACAATAACCGGTAAGGTTACGAAAACGTTATGCACAAGACAGAACAGTATATGTACGGAAGTCAAACAACAAACCAACTTTGGAACTTTCTTAGTTAAAATCAGGACAAACGGTGGCTTTTCCTGGAAAACGTAGTGGGCTCGTAAAAAAACACCTAAGTCCACGTCATAGCTCCGCTGCGGTGTGGCTAGTTGGACTGGTACGGGTTTAGTCATAGTCTGACACCTTTTAGATTCAAAGGATCCGCAAAATGGACTGGGTACGTATGGTTATGTGGCAAGAGAATCGTAACCGCGCGAGTGGGCGTCGCGTACGACGTCCGCCTGCTAATGATGACGATTTTAGGTGTGATGGTCGAGAATAGACAATGTGTGACCAAAAATAGACATAAGTGTCTACCATGTCCTTGTCTACATGAAATCCGATGCTCCAATCGAAAGGGTAGTGCAAATTGAGGGAACGTCGCGCCCATCGCCGCGCGCGACAAAGCGGCAATTTACGATTCCCTTGCTCGTCTCCCGGGTACGTAGTGATAGTTCTGCCCATCCAGCGTTTTCAAAAAAAAAACGCGATAATGAAGAATGGAAGAATTGAGGAAGCCGCGAAAGGCACTGGACACGCACCAATCGGGAAAACAGAACTGTCTCGGAGGTTCCTAACGCAACTTTTTTGTAAGTTCTTCTGTGGGATTTAAAGTGGCTGGAGCTCGGTTCCTCAAACAGCATCAGCATTTCATTCTGTTCTGCATGATTGTCGTAATCGCAATAAAAACTGTCTGTCCAGCAGTTCTGTGACCTCTTGCGCACCCGACCTACACATTGTCACCCATGACCAGGGTACAGCATAGGGATAGGCGAAATGTCGGTGTGAGTACGACCCCCCTTTTTTCCCCGTTGGTACGACCCCCCCCCCCTCAGCTCGACCGGCTCTTTCGCCGACTGACGAGCGATGAGTATATAGTCGGCGAAAAAGTCGTCGAGCGGGGGGGGGGGCATATAACACAAAAAATTAATACGAATTAATACGACCCCCTTTTTCCACAAGAAAAAATCAACTATCAAAATAAATTTGTCTTACCCCAAATACGACCCCCCCCATGTGTCTTTCACACAAGGATGCTGTACCCTGACCATGACACCCGCTCTTAAGCCCCACACTTCTCCGGTCTCCCCATACGCTCTCCCGATGCTTACAAACCTATAAAGCCCAAGTAACCATGCAGCCGTCCTTTACAGCCCTTATTTTTAGTAAAGAATACTTCAGAGCATGGTAAGCCACTAAAGAATGCGCTGCGGGCTCACAGGAAGTGTTCAATTGTTAGTCGCGGTTCAATTCAACTTTTGCGATCCACCTTCTTACAATCGCGCGTTAAACACGTCTATGTAAAATCGCTTTTTGCATTCCCACTTATAGAAAAGAAGGGCTCCTGCGATGGCTTGCGCGAGAAAAAACACCACTGAATCAAAAATAGCCACAACTAGGCGCTGGCCGGCTCTGGAGGGGGGGGGAGGAGGAAAAGGGAAGGCATTGCGCACTTCCACTACTTCCTGTTGTAAATTTTATTAAAGGCACGTTTGATCTTGATAAGACTTGTAAACTCATGTCAGGTGTGAACCAGACCCAGGCTATTGCATAGCTTTGCAGAAATTCACAGGTTGCCACAGAAGGCATCAGCAATGATCGATGGATACCAGCAAATTACCCCCACAAAGCCTAACTGCGCCCACAACTGCACTACCTAATAACTATAATACTGTATCATTTTCTCATGTCCAGAAACATCTAGAAACTGACCCTTCAAAATCATTTCGAATCCACGGATCGTCTCCTCGAGAGATACGAACTTTCCGGCGTGACCAGTGAACACCTCAGCGACTTGGAATGGTTGAGACAGGAAACGTTGGATTTTTCGGGCACGAGATACAGTAAGCTTGTCATCTTCAGATAACTCGTCCATACCAAGGATAGCAATGATATCTTGAAGAGACTTATAATCTTGAAGAATCTTCTGCACTCCTCGAGCAATATCGTAGTGTCTGTGTCCGACAATGTTGGGGTCCATGATACGGGAGGTAGAGTCAAGAGGGTCGACAGCTGGATAGATGGCCAATTCAGCGATACCTCGAGATAACACAGTGGTGGCGTCCAAGTGAGCGAATGTGGTGGCAGGAGCGGGATCGGTCAAGTCATCAGCAGGTACGTAGATAGCCTGCACAGAGGTAATAGATCCCTTGGTCGTGGTGGTGATACGCTCTTGCATGCTACCCATATCGGTGGCGAGAGTTGGTTGGTATCCTACAGCAGATGGAATACGGCCGAGAAGAGCAGACACTTCTGAACCGGCCTGGGTGAAACGGAAAATGTTGTCAATGAACAGAAGCACATCTTGTCCCTCCTTATCACGGAAGTATTCGGCGACACTCAAACCCGTTAAGCACACACGAGCACGAGCACCTGGAGGCTCGTTCATCTGACCGTACACCAACGATACTTTTGAGTTGTTCCCCTGAAAAAAAGAAACTTGCTTTAACCTGAATTACTTGACCAAGCCATAAGAAAGAAATCAGCTCACCTTAAGGTCGATAACACCTCCTTCAATCATTTCGTGGTACAAGTCGTTACCCTCACGGGTACGCTCTCCGACACCGGCGAACACAGAGTAACCTCCGTGGGCTTTTGCAACGTTGTTAATCAGCTCCATAATAAGCACAGTCTTTCCTACTCCGGCACCACCAAAGAGACCAATCTTTCCTCCCTTCGCGTAAGGAGCGAGCAAGTCGACCACCTTGATTCCAGTTACAAGAATCTCTTGCTCGACGGACATTTCGACGAACTCGGGTGCTTCAGCGTGAATGGGAGCGCGGTGTTTTGCATTGATAGGACCTCGTTCGTCAATTGGTTCACCGATGACATTCATAATGCGACCAAGAGTTTCGGGGCCGACTGGGATCTTAATTGGATCACCAGTATCGACAGCTTCTTGTCCACGGACAAGTCCTTCAGTTCCGTCCATAGCAATGCAACGAACGACATTGTCTCCTGAATAAGAACATGTTTACATCTGAGCAAATTGTGAAACGATTACATTGTACGATATCACTGCTTACCTAGATGTTGAGAGACCTCGAGGATAAGACGTGGGGAACGGCCAGTGACTTCGAGAGCATTGAGAATTGGTGGCAGGTTGTCATCGAATTGGACGTCGACGACAGCACCAATAACAGCGACGATCCTTCCTTTTGATCCGGAGGCAGAGCTGGTCTTCGAAACCTAAACTTATCAGTCGCTTTAACGCCGACGGAATTAGGGTGCGTCTGATTACGACACGTCCAATTATTTGATCACTTAAGGAATGTCTAAAGTAAATGGTAACTGGGGGCCCGTTCACATTCGATGAGCTAGGTCCGTTCACATCCGGTGAGCTGAACTCTTAGTAAATGGCATGTGGATAAAAACGTGCGTGAGGGTAACGTAAATTTCTGCTTCTTCGAAGAGAATCCACAAACAGCGCGGGACAATTTATGCTAAGGCTGAAAAGTAAATCTCAATACTAGGTATACAACGCCGAAAGCTCCATTGTCCTTGTGTCACACAAATTACACTTACTAGTCAAGGAGGTATACAAAAAGAGTTTGAAAAACAAGTGATATCCAGAACTCGATCCAGTCCCCTTAATGTTAGGTGTTGCGTACGGGTACGGGTACACTTGGTAACTGTATGGATCATCAGCTTTATATCTCAAATATTAGCGTAGATCGGACTGGCGTGGCCGTTTCAGTGTTTCGCATCACTCACTGCCGATTTCTCTTGTAGAGAATGGTGAATTGTTGTAAAGCTATGCGGTAGCATGACTTTCCTCATACTTAACAAAAGTTTACAGGTTTCCACAAGGTGAAACGTATTTGTTAACAAGAACTAGAGAAATAAGGGAACAGGGAAAATGTGCCCCCTCCCCCTCTAACAGCGCCTCCAAGGATCAGCTGTTACAATGCAAAATCACCTCCATGACCTCACCATGGAGAGCCACAGTAGTAAAAACCACCCCATACTATACGTCTTTCAAGCCTATACAATCGCTAAAAATTTGACACAGAAGCAAGTCGCCCCAGGGAAACGGCACACGAATGAACTCCTAAGCAAGACCGGAATTTCCGCAATGGAATGAGAAACTTGCACAAGCTTAGAAGGGAAAGGGTCCGTATGGATGGATTGATTTTTTCTGTAGAAAGCAATTCTGCATTGGGATGACCCCAATTTAGCGGAGACTTTTCCGAAGCCTCTTCGCTTAACCTGGTTGCTCCTAAAAAGCAGTTAACCTAGGCGGTGAGGTTCAGAGATCCCGACATCGGAGCGCAAAATTGCTCAATTGATTGATTCCACAAGCAGTCTGCTTTAAATAGGGAATGAAGTTCAGTATGTGTACACCCTCCAGATACCCAGAAACAGGAGAAAACAACAAGAATAGCAGGGGGGCTTCAAAGTCGGAACATTCAATTTTCAATGGACAACTAAGCAGATTTCATGCCCGAAACGAACAATCGATTATAAAAAAAGTTAACACATACATTCTTGTCAGCAGCTTGAGCTTGAGCCTGAGCAACGACTGAAGAATGAACGCCTCTCTTTTCGACG